CAATCGATTACGCCTTCCGCGCTCGAACATTGAAATGACGGTCGGCGGGTTAGGTAGAACGGTCAGCTCTACACGATCGAGGGCACAGGTAGCCGTGTCATCCAGACACAATAATTTTCGCGCTAACGTCTCATGTCTCGTTCTAAAAACCATCACCGAAGACATGCCGAATGTCCCGATTGATCGGACGAGCACATCGTGCCCACCGGGGATGCAATTAGCTGATCCAAACTTTGCCAAATCAAAGCAAGTTGACCTGCTGATAGGTGCAGGACTCTTCTGGCAGCTCCTGTGCATCGGACAGCAGAAGGCTGGAACAGAAGGCTTGATTTGGCAAAAGACGAGATTAGGTTGGGTTCTGGGAGGACAGTTAAATTCAACAGACCGGAGAACGCGAACTAGCAATTGTTACGTGATCTCGAATGAGCAGTTAGATACTAGCCTGGCGCGATTTTGGGAATTAGAAAATGTAACATCAGACAAGGACGGACCGTTGACCGACGCGACGAACGACGCCGAACAACACTTTCGACGAACGACAAGACGCGACGATGACGGCCGATATTTAGTGAGCATTCCATTTACAAACAGCATCAACCAGTTAGGGGATTCGAGAGCTCAAGCTGAAAAAGGATTCGCAGCCATTGAACGTAAACTAGCTCGGCAACCCGATTTACGCCGAGAATACGTTTCCTTCATGCACGAGTATGAACGACTTGGACATATGACTCGACGCGACACAGCGACAACTAGCACTACCCTTAGGTATTACCTGCCGCATCATGCAGTTTTCAAGGCCTCTAGCACAACGACTCGGGTCAGAATAGTTTTTGACGGGTCGGCAAAAACGTCCTCGGGCCTGTCATTAAATGACATACAATTAGTAGGGCCGACCGTACAAGACGACCTTTTTTCCATCGTAGTTCGATTCAGAAAGCACAAATTTGTACTTTCGGCAGATGTAGAGAAAATGTATCGACAAGTGCTCGTCCGACCAGAGGATCGGAAGTACCAGTGTATTCTTTGGCGTTCGTGTGTGGACGGTCCGATCAACACGTACGAATTGAATACGGTGACATACGGTACATCTTCGGCCCCATTTCTAGCCACTCGCGTCTTGCACCAGATAGGATTAGAATGTGCAAATCAATCGCCTCTAGCAAGTCGTGCGATAATTTATGACTTTTACGTAGACGACTTGCTCACCGGATGCGAGACAGTAAGGGAAACACAGGCATTAAAGAAACAGCTGACACAAGTTCTAGGGCAAGCAGGGTTTCAGTTACGAAAGTGGGCATCAAACAAGCCCGAAATCTTGCATGATCGGTCTAGCATAGAAAAGGAGATCAAACCTCCCGAAGGAGATTCCAAAACATTAGGATTGATATGGCTTTCCGAACCAGACGAGCTTCGGTTTTCGGTCAGAGAGCCAATCTATACTCGCATCACTAAACGCACCATACTTTCTGAAATCGCTCAGGTGTTCGATCCACTCGGCTTAGTTGGTCCCGTAATTACAAGGGCCAAGATTTTAATGCAAACCTTGTGGCAGCTGCAATTAGGTTGGGATGAAAGTGTAGATCAAGATCTTCATGCCCAATGGTCAAGGTTTCGTACAGAATTGAACCAGGTCAAGACATTAGAAATACCGCGCCGTGTAATATGCGATAACGCAAGGGCAGTAGAACTGCACGGGTTTTCGGACGCGTCGGAAAGGGCCTACGGTGCGTGCATCTACCTGCGGTCGCTCGACGAGACCGGCAGGTACACGGTGCGATTGCTTTGTGCCAAATCTCGAGTCGCTCCTTTGAAAACAACCACCCTTCCGCGGCTAGAATTATGCGGTGCCCTTTTGCTAGCCCAATTAGTCAAACGAATCCGATACGCGTTACAGTTAGCATTCAAGTGCGAACATTACTGGTCAGACTCCACAATTGCTCTAGCCTGGATCAGAGGTCAACCAAACCGTTGGAAGACCTTCGTGGCGAACCGCGTGTCAGAAATTCGACAATCTACGTCAGTAGAAAACTGGCACCACGTGGCTTCGGAAGACAACCCTGCCGACGTGATTTCACGAGGCACCGACCCCACAACGTTAAGGCGTACAGACCTGTGGTGGTCTGGCCCATCGTGGCTATTACAAGAACAGCACGAATGGCCCTCAATCGAGACAATCCCAGACACAATGCCGGAAGAGATCAACCACGTTCGTAGTCATGTCGCAACACCTAATTGCCCGACGGACATCCTTTGCCGTTTTTCATCCTACTCTAGGCTTGTTAGAATTGTAGCGTACTGTAGGAAGTTCGTAGATCGGCTGAAATCCAAAACGCGGGAGAACAGTCAAACCCTCGCCGTGCAACCTAACGCCACAAATTCATGGCAATCATTTTTAACAGCACGCGAATTAGCTCGGTCCGAAAAGACAATAATCAAACTCGTACAGCAAGAGTGCTTCGGCAAGGAAATCAGCGATCTACAAGCAGCTAACCCGCTAGCACAAACCAGCAAATTAGCCTCGCTGAATCCGTTCCTGGGCTCAAAGGGTTTGCTCAGGGTGGGCGGGAGACTCCGAAACGCTCCTATAGTTTACAATCAGAAACACCCATTGATTCTACCCTCGGACCACCCATTGGCGAATTTAGTGGTGACCTATGAACACTGTCGATTGCTCCACGCGGGGTGTCAGCTCACCAGCGCATCGTTGCGCAATCGGTTTTGGATACTAGCTTGCAAGCGCGTGGTTAAGAAAATAATACACAGATGCATTCGTTGCTTCCGAACAAAACCGACCGACATAAATCCGATCATGGGAGACTTGCCTGCAACTCGGGTGACTCCTGCTCGACCGTTTGCTACCTGCGGAATCGATTATGCCGGTCCGTTATTAATTAGGGAACGCGGGCGTGCTCGCACCGCACACAAGGCCTACATTTGTATATTTGTATGTTTCGTCACCAAGGCTGTACACATAGAATTAGCAACAGACTTGAGCACTGACGCCTTCCTGAATTGCCTCAATCGGTTTATAGCTCGTAGGGGACGGAGTCACTGTATCTACTCAGACAACGGTAGAAATTTCATTGGAGCACGCAACAATCTTAATGAATTAGGAGTGTTACTAAATAGTAAAGCACACCACGCAAAGGTAGGAAATTTACTAGCACAGAAGCAGATACAGTGGCACCTGATCCCGCCACATGCGCCGCACTTTGGGGGTCTATGGGAGAGTGCTGTCAAATCAGCGAAACACCACGTCAAAAGAATAATAGGGGAACAGCGCCTCACGTACGAAGAGCTGTACACAATACTAGCACAGATCGAAGCATGCTTGAATTCCCGCCCTCTTCATCCTCTTTCGTCAGATCCCAATGATCTCACTCCTCTCACTCCTGGACATTTTTTAATCGGAGATGCACTAACCGCCCTGCCGCAACAGGATTTATTGCATCTAAAACAAAATCGACTAAACCGGCATCAGTTAGTCCAACAGATGCTGCAACATTTCTGGAAGCGTTGGCAGCAGGAGTATTTACACCATCTCCAGCAACGTCAAAAATGGAGGCTTCATTAACCAACCATAGTGAAGATAGGTGCCCTAGTCGTCATACGAGAAGACAACATCCCACCATTACGTTGGCGTCTTGGGAGAATTACCGAGCTCCAACCAGGCACCGATGGGATAATCCGGGTGGTGTCCATCAAGGTGTCTGATGGCATTATCAAGAGACCGGTGACAAGAATCTGCCTCTTACCGCTGGCAGAGGAAGAAGACGCTGCGGAAAATACCCCCGGCTCACAACCGAACGTAGAGTAATTCTTGGGATCTGTTCCCATTCACTATCAATCAGTACTTGTTATACTAATAGACTAGTCTAGCTCTTAAAAAAAAATATATATAGTTGTAACCTCCCCGGAGTAGCATTAAGTAGCATCATAGTTTAAAATTGTATCCACCGTGAGCATTTAATTCATCGACATGAATCGTACCAATTAGTTAGTTTATGTTTAGTTTTTACAGTATATTAAACGCTTGAGCTTTCAAGGTGGGCGGGATGTTTGGGCTTCGGTGAGTCGACCAGGTTTATGACATAGAACCGCGTTTGTAGAGTTTCGTCAAGGCCAGCATGGGCAAAAAATATCTTAGAGTTTCGCTAAACAAAAGGGACAAAGTGTCATAAACTTGGTTGGCGAAGGCAGTCTCGAGTGGTTGCAGCCCCAAGAGACTGTCGGATGGCCCACACGTGCGCGGCTCTTCGCCTTGGGCCTCCCTTGTTTTCGTCGATGGTTTGTACGCGGGCCCAAGGGCTGACGCACGCGGTGGAAAGTCCCCGGAGTTGCCAAACGTAGCACCCTCCACCTTGGACGCCAAGCTACGTCGGCATCGTCGCACCCCCGCCCCAAAGTCAGCAGTATAAAAACGGCGGCATGCCGTGATTTCGACCTTATTGCTTATTACTCGCTTATTCGCTTAGTCGCTTACTTGCCTACTTGCTTGCTTACGTACTTAGTTACCATTTGACAAACAGATAGTGCGCTAGCCGTTCCTAATCTGATCAGTGTATACTTTTGTTGAGTTTTAAAATACAATAGAATAGTAAAACGTCTCGTTAGTCCCCTGAATAAGGGGTGGTCCTTCGAAATTTAGTTTAGTCGGCACACCACGTGCAAATTTACTACTCCGGAACGATCCTTTCGGTTCGGACTAAACACCAACCAAAACTCATAAATATGGTATAAAGCTTTTCAAATTGTGCTCCACCGAAGGGTATACATGGTCTGCGAAAATATATTCTGGACGAGACATCAGCGGAAGAAGGCAAATTGGCATAGCTGAAAACGTCTGCATTGAACTTGCAGATAAATTGATAAATGAAGGAAGAACTTTGTTTGTCGACAACTTTTACACAAGCTATGAATTAGCAGCCAAATTTTTAAAATTCAAGACGCATGTCGTTGGGACTGTGCGATACAACAAAAAATTTATGCCACGTTTTGTAATGTCGTACCCATTGAAGAGAGGTGAAATGATAGCAAGAGAAGATGACAACGGTATTGTGGTGTTAAAGTGGAGGGATGTTCGCGATGTTAGGATGTTATCAACAAAACATGCACCTATTATGATTTCAACCTCGGATTCTACTCATCGCGGGCGTCCTCCTAAACAGAAACCTTTGGCGATACTGGCATATAATAATGGAAAAAGTGGCATCGACAGGAGCGATCAGATGGCGTCATATGCCACAACGATACGAAAAAGTATCAAGTGGTATCGGAAATTAGCACTGCACTTGCTTTTAGGAACAAGTATAGTAAATGCTCACATCGTGTACCAGAGAGCCACAAATAAAAAAATTGAAATAAGAAAATTTCGGGAGCTCCTCGTTGCCGAATGGTTGTCCCCGGAAAATGCTACGCATAGAAATAAAACAAGGAACGTGTTCCATAAGCTAGAGATTCGTAGGAATCAGCAGGGCAAGCCTATAAGAAGGATGTGCGCTCTATGTTACCAGAAGAGAAGGCAAACTGCTGAACGTCAAGAAGCGAAAAAAAATGTAAAAAAAACTACGACCTATTGTTTCAATTGTCCAAAATACCCTCAAATGTGTTTAGAATGTTTCAACGCACACCATACGACATAGTATAATGTAATATGTTATCCTAAATATAAATTAGTAAACAGTATAGTATAATATTTATATTTCAGTGCTTATTCCATTAAATTCCTTTTAAAAATCCAACTGAAAGTACTATTAACTTGAATAAGAGAGCGTCACCCATATTTGGGTGACGGGGCCCCCACGGAAGCATACCCGTCACCCAGATCTGGGTGACGCGGCGACGAACGTGTTAACGGATTCCGTCTCGCAATATAACATCAACGGTTTCCTATGACAACAGTTTGAAACACAAACATCTCTTGACGCTTCTCCGTAACACTTGATACATTCAGAGAAAAATCTTCAAGTGCTTTAGGCCCCAGTGTTTCGTTTTGGTTTAGAGAGCTCAGTTTTGTCTTTAAAATCGTTCGGAATAGTTGTGCTGACGAGTTCAGAAAGATTTCATTTCCACTGGATAAATCGTGTTCGGTGAACATATTTGTCATTTATAGTGCACTTGGATGCTTTTTAACATTTTTTGACTATACATATATGCATATATCGTAGTATAGTATTTTTAGTGTATAAAGTGCAGTATAATATAGTATTTAGTACAGTGTAGTTATAAAGTAGTGTTGTATTACGATTAATTTAACATAGTGTTTTTTAGTTTAACATAGTACAATGACACGAAAGTGCAAGAATGATCCAAACTCTTTTTGCTACGTTTGTGGGGAAGTGGTAGTGAAATCGAGTCGCCGCAAAATAACTTCTAAAATAGAATATGCGTATGAACAATACTTTGGACGTAAACTTGGTGACCAAGATAAATACTGGGCACCGCATATTTGTTGCCAACGTTGTGCCTCCGCACTTTTAGCTTGAACAAGAGGAAATAACAGAAGTCTGCCATTCACAATTCCAATGGTATGGAAAGAGTCAAGCGATCATGTTGCAGACTGTTACTTTTGTTTATGCAAAATTAGTGGATTTAATAAGAAAGGGAAGAAGAAAATTGTATACCCAGATGTATCTTTCGCCACGCACCCAGTAGTATCTGTATCGGCACCACCACCACTTAATTCTCATACACACCAGGATACTCCAGAAGATCAAGTCGAAACAACAATTGAAGAAACAGAACCGACCTTAACGATCTTGTGCGAAACTTGGATTTATCAAAAAATCAAGCAGAGCTTTTAGCATCTCGTCTACAGGAATGGAATTTGTTGAACAAAGCATCCAAAGTAACGTATTTTAGAGCACGACAACATAATTTTGAACAATTCTTTGTGATGCATGAAAAGCTTTGTGTTTGCACTGATGTGGATGAATTAATAAAAATTCTGGGTTTTAAACATGATCCAAAGGAATGGAGGCTATTCAAAATACAGTTTTGTAAGATTTACTGTAAGATATACTGTTGGATATGTAGACATGCATTATGACGGAGTGCGCATGCCGACCTCGAGAGTGTGAATGAGAGACATCTATGTGAGAGATCGAGAGCGGAGAGATACAAGGAATAATAGGAGGAGTGAACACGTGTCGAGACTGTGTCTGTATGCATATCGTTTATTCTGTATCCAAATATATATATTGTTAATATACAACGTGGGTGTTCATTTACATTAACATGGTAGCAGAGGTCCGTGGTTTATAAGTTTGTGCACAAAGTTCGTAAAAAGGAAAGAAAAATAACAAAGAGTAAAGAGACGGTATTTTTAGGTTAGAACAGTGGAAGGTTCTAGAAATCTCGAGAAGATATACATAAGAGGTTAGAACAGTAATAGATTCTAAAAAAAAATAAAGAATTCGAGATGGCCCATATGAAGTGCGATGATATAATTATACCCATTTTCGATGGAGCGGACTATAAAAATTGGAAAAAACGAATAACGACCTTTTTAAAATATAAAAGGTGCAATCAGGTAATAGAAAGAAAAAGGGAGGAGACCGATGAATTGGACACGTGGAATAACATGGACATTAAAGCAGTAAATTACATATACAGTGCAATAACAAACAGACAATTAGAATATATAAGTAATGTAGACACTGCTTTTGAAATTATAAGAAAATTTGACGAGATGTAAAGGATTACCAAGACATAACAACGTTTTTTGATGAGTTTGAAAAAGCAGTAAATGAGTTGAAGTCAGCTGATGCGAATATAACAGAACAGGAAAAGTTGAACTATATGATTAAAGCACTACCACAGTCATATAATTATATTGGAGATCTCATAGATGTGCTACCTGAAAACGAAAGGAATATAGAATATCTAAAAGGGAAATTGAAGATGAAATTTAAAGAAGGGGTAAATAAAGCAGAGGAAAATATACAAGCAGATAAGACGAATGCTTTTTCTGCAATCCAATCAAGCACAGGGATGAGAAGACAATATGCAAAATGCTGGGGGTGTGGTAGAGTAGGCCACACACAAAAATATTGTCGGCAGGTGAATGCTGGTCATCAACAGACGCAATGGAAGTCTGGACAATACGAACGTGGCAGAGGACGATCACAGCAAAATCGTGGACGTTTGTACAGATCCAGAGGAAGTCAACGTGGAGCATATAACAGTTACAGAAATGGAACGCAAGATGAAACATCAACGCATGGAGGAAGTAGCTTCATAGTACAAGTAAATGCTTCTGAAATCAAGGAAGAAGAGGCAACTAAAGCGAAGGAAATGGTTTGGTTACTGGATAGTGGATGCACTGACCATATTGGAAACGAGGACAAATGGTATGATGAGTGTATCACGTTAAAATCTCCGGTAAATGTCAAAATAGGAGATGGGCGAGTACTACAGGCAACCAAGGTTGGGCGAATAACAGCTCTATTCCAAGTAAAAAATGAAAGGTGTAACACGAGATATTAATTTAATATAGAAATAAGAACAACGACGCGGCTTTCGCCGAAAAGCCGCTATACCGCGCCCTTAGTTTAGTTACGTTAAAAACGTCGGCGAAGCGTTCGTCAAGAAGCCAGGTCAACGCTAAAATAGATGGGTCCTGGCCAATCAACAACGGCCAGGCCCACGCTAGCGCAGGTCGCCCGGGTATAAAAGCGGGCCCTTCGGCCCATGTTAGTCATCACATTCTCACGGAGACTCTCGTGGAGTTGACATCGAGACACTCATAAGCGAAACTAGTTCTCAAGTGAATTCATACAACAAGAAAAAAGGATCACGACCCAGGCACTCTACCAGGCACACGAGCAGGATACGGAAATACCCGACTAACAGGAAGGCAAGGCCCAACGACCAGAGCTGGCCGCCGGGCCGGAAAAAACAAATTTCCGCCACCGTCAAGCCGCCAGGCAGGATGGTGAGCCATACATACATATAATAAGGCGGCGCACGGCGTCACTTTCGGACTCCGGACGACCCTCAACCACGCCACTCACGGAAATCGACCTCAGTAAGACAGCACCAATGGACTCCACTAACAAACAGAGCACCGACCATGAAGGCTTCCTTCTTCCAAGGAAAAGGAAAACCTCCAAAGATTCACATACCACCCCATCCACATCGGCCATCCACGCCACGCCCGCAGCAACAACCAGCGTCCCTGTAGTCAACAGGTTCGCCATCTTGTCGGACATCTTCGATGTCGAACAAACCACCCCCATTACGCCACCACAGGTAACCCCAGCTGAAACAGTCAAGACACAAGGTAAGCCACCGCCTATATTTATTCACTCAATAATCAAGGACCACATAGGATTCTGTCGGCTAATAGAAAGTACGGTAAACGACAAATTCGAAATTAAATACCTCACTAACCAGGCTAAAATCACTCTCGCAACAATCAGCGACCACCGCGCGGTCAAAGAATTAGTAATTAAAAACAATTTACAAATGCACATGTACACACTCAACACGGATAAGACCACCGCAGTTGTCCTTAAAGGACTACCCAAGCTCCCAACCGAGCAAATCCTCTTAGAAATTCAAGCCAAGGGGTTAAATGCCTTAGCTTGCACAGAGTTAAAAAGAAAAGAGGCCAGCTATCTTGCCACTTACAAAATAATCTTCGCGAAGGGCACCACTCTCCAGCAGATTAATCATGTAAGATCGCTAGGACACACCAGAGCCTATTGGGAAAAGTTCAACAACTCCCGCCCATACATACAATGTTTCCGATGCCAGGCTTTTGGCCACTCGTCGGCCAACTGCACCAAAACCCCTTCATGTGTCAAGTGCGCAGGCAAACATTCTACCAAAGACTGTGTCAAGTCACCCAACACCCCGGCAACCTGCTGCAACTGCCACGGCCCTCACCCGGCTAATTATAGTCAATGCCCCTCGCTTCTCGCGTTTTTACAAAAAAGAGCACGCACCATAACACTCACAACCCCTGCTCCCTATCAAGCACCTACCCCACCGCAACCTACACGTGCCACCAATAAGCCACTCCTCTCGCACCCAATGCCTTCTGCAACCACAGCTAGGTCCTATGCAACTGTCACGGCTGCAAGACAAATCCCCAAGACTGCCCCTACCGAAACCAACAAAACCCCCGAACTATCAGACCTTTTCTCTAAAGCTCAGACCATAAATGAGCTCATTGACATTACCAGCATAGGAGCCGCATTAGACCATCTATACAACAAACTAATTACCTGCAAAACCAAGGCTCAAAAACTTCAAGCATTCTTAGAAGCCGCTGAGTTAATCAATGGCTAACCTGCCTACAAAAATCTTACTCTGGAATGCCACCAGCATCCTCAATAAAACACAAGAACTCCTAATGTTCCTTGAACACCACCGAATCCACATTGCTCTTGTGTCAGAAACATGGCTGAAGGACACAGATATAATAAAACTAACTAGATACAGAATCATAAGAAACGACAGGATAACGCCACACGGGGGTGTCGCCATCATAATTCACCAATCCTTACCATATAACAACCTTCCCCAACCTTTTCTGGACAACGTTGAGGGTGTCTTCATAGAAATTCCATCCAAACCCAAAATCATAGTTGGGGCTGCATACCTACCACCCAGGAAAAGATTCACACAGCACGACCTAAACACGCTAACCACACACTCT